AAACATATTTGTTATAACACTGTCAAATCACAAAAGATTATAACAGAAATTATTCTAGCATTCATCTCAATATTAAATTCACCTGTTCTAATTTGTACACTACACTATCAAACATTCTCTTTTTTCCTTCCACCATAGGCAAGAGACAGGAGGAAAAAAAAATGGATTCTTGCCAAAATGCCTCCATTGCCCCCTAGTGCCCATTTTAAAGACTGAAGACCTTCTGTACCAGCAGTTTAGAAATGCTAAGGAATATACTGCCTGGATTTTGGAATAGAGCTTCTAGCATCTTCTGGTGACAACACCTTGCAGGTCTAGCTAAAATGCTCTGTTTTAAACAGTATTAATTCTTCTTTGAAGCTAAAATCATTAAGCTTCTTCACACTTTTTTTTTCTTTTGGTACTGGGGATTGAACTCGAGTTCTTGAGTTTGCGAGGCAGGCGCAGCACCACTAAGCTAAATCCCTGGCCCTCTTCACACTTTTTAAATAACTTTTCTTCCTAGTCAGCTTCAGTTAAATTAAAATTGATCATTAGTGAAATACTGATTATGATGATGAAGACAACAAAACCACACAATGTTGTTTCCAAGATTCATTTCATTTTCATACTACTAAAAACTAAGAGAGAATTTTTAACCATGTTTAATTCTTCAACCTTTCCTTCAGCATGAGGAAGAGACTGACTGATACAGGTGCTTGGCAATGACCAAGGCCAAAGAGATGAAAAGCCTCAGACTAGAAGACAGAGAAGCACGGTGGGGGCCCAATCTTGGACTCTCAACCACAGAACGTGCCAGGCAGGGAGTCAGACAAAGTTCATGGAAAACAGGTGCTCACAGCTAAAAAGTCAGTGTTACAACCAGCCTTTAGTTACAGTCATAAAAATCCAACTTCCAATTTTCTGTAGTAATGGGAAACAGGATAGCAAGAATAATGAAAATCCTCAATAATCCCAAAGTCTCCATTTAATTATCAGTTACAACCTTCCTCACCTAAAAAAAATAAAAATTAAAAAATAGGACCATGGAGAAATAATAGGAATGGTTTTAAATTACTCTTCACCCCTTTTCTGTGATTCTTTGTACTTTAATCTTTACTTGTTCAATCCTAAGAAAAAAGATAGACTCAAATTTATTGCTATCAGACATAAGTGGAATAAAGAATAAGTAAAAAACCAAGTTTGTCATAAAGAGAAACTATAATATATATTAACAATTCCAATCCAGTGACTCAAACAGTAACACTAACCACAACAACTATCCAGAAACTAAAGTAAAATGCATCTTTTAAAAAGTAATCACTGGCTGGCAGTGCAGTCTATAATGTACACACTAACATGCACTCTCTGGCTACTTTCCTTCAAATTCTAGAGCTATCAAAAACTCATTTTTTAAAAAAGGTGTGATTAGAAGGGGTGCAAAGAACTATGCTCTATACAATTTAGTGAGTTTTGTTCTACCTTGGGGCAGTTTTCACAATTATTAAACTGTTGTGTAACTGAACAGGAAGGTTAGGACAATGCATATATAATGGTCCTTATAGAAATAGATGATTACCTTTACTTCTATGCTTGCATTTGCTCAATTTACACCTCTATTTTCATTTTCTAAATAAAACTGAGGATTGATATGTCATAAAGAAAAAGACTCAAGGGCTGGGGTTTTAGCTCAGTGGCATCATGCCTGCCTGGCAAGCACAAGGTCCTGAGTTCAATCCCTGGTACAAAAAAAAAAAGCGGGGGGGGGGCTAGGGATAGATTTAGCTCAGTGGTTTCGCCACCTGCCTTGCAAACATAAGGACCCGAATTCCATTCCTAGTACCAAAAAAAAAAAGAAAGAAAAACGCTCAAAAATTATAAAATTAAAAGAAGCCATAAAATGAATGTTTCAATCATAAAAACCAAAAAAGTTCAATTCTGTTTCTCTAATTTCTTTTTTAAGTGTTTTGTTTTACTGACACCAGGGATTGAACCCAGGGCCTCTCTCATGTGAGGCAAGCATTCTACTACTGAGCTACTTCCCAGCCTAAGAAATAACACTTCTGTACACGGTATTATACTAAAATACCTACAGAAGTTGTTTGAAATTACTACACTCTAAGTTGTTTGAAATTACTACACTTTCTATCTTCAAGTCCTTGTACTTGAGGTTATTACATGTAATTGCAAAAGGGGAGCAGAAGAGTAAGCACACAAATAATGACAACAAAGAAAACAAGTCATTTGCTACAGAAGGCAGAAACCAACCCTGTGAAGTAGCACATGCAATTCATATCTGGAAATGTTGCTTAGAGAAAAATTACATTTGAAATGGTTTATAAAAGTTGGACAGAATTTCAGTAACAGAAACTAGAGGAATGGAAAAGCAACACTACAGTTTTATCAGTATCAACTTAATACGAGTAGACTCCTTTTTGTAAGGGAGAATTAACAATCAAAATAAGGATTGAAAAGGTCTAACATACTTATCAATCATGAAAGATAGACAGATAGATAGACAGATAATCAGCCTATTCTGAGGAAAGAAATTAGACATATTATTGAAAAATATTGAGTTGCTGAGACAAGCAGCGCTGACTGGGAAATAAATTATATAGCAGTTGTGGAAATAGAGGGGATGAATAAAATCTCCTCTAAGAAGTACCACGTTTTTTTCTTGTACAAATTAAGATAAATTAGTAAAGAATATACATTTGAATTATTTATTTCCTCAGCATTCTGAAAGCTAGAAGTTCATAAGTAAGTAAGATGCTGGTAGATTTGGTTTCTGGTAAGACCTTCCTTCTGGATTTGTAGACCACCTTCTGCTAAGGCCTCACCTTGCCATGCCTCCCTACCTGGGGTGAGGGAGCAGGGCTATGAGCACACACTTTTGGGTTCTACTCTTATAAAGACAGTGATCCTATGTAATTTTAACTGCTTTCTTAGAGGCAGTCTTAGTCACCCTTGGCACTGACACAAAATACTCAATAACCACAAGTTAAAGGAGAAGAGGTTTATTTTGCCTCAAAGTCTCACTCCATGGCAGGCTGGCTTTAAGACAGACACGCGATGGCAGAGGGCCCACTGGAGGAAATGGTGCACAAACCATGGCAGCCAGGAAGCAGAGAGAGCAGGGAAGAGCTGGGAACAGGAATACATTCTTCCAAGTCATGCTCCCAGTGACCCAACCCTTCTGAAGAGGCCGTACCACTAAACGTGAGAACTATGGGGAACATTTTAGATCTAAACCAAAACAGAGGCCTCGTCTTTAAAATCAGCCACAATGGAGGTTAGGACTTCAACATATACATTTTACTAAGACACAAACATTCGACCCATTCCAAAATCCACTGTCACATTTCATAGTACTCTACAAATTACCAAAAATAAGTAAGCACATCTTTACTGGGAACCTCTGAAACATTACTGGAAACCTCTACAGAAGGCTGCAGTGTCCTACTCAGTGTATGATACAAGCCTGAGAAAAACTAAAAGACAGAACTAAGAGAGACAGAAAACAGGGCACCAGGATGGCCAATGCCAGTGCAACCAATAAAGGCACTGGTCGGTCCAAGCCACTGATTTTTATTAGTAGTCAACTGGGCTAAGGCAAGCTATGTACAAGGGCAGTACTACATTGGAGGATGCACGGTCATGTGGTTTCTATGGAAATTAATGTAAGCAAGGCTTGTAAAAGACAAGACAAAGCATTCTCAAATTAGGAAAAGAATAAGCAAAATATATGGTTGTAATTAGAACAGTGTTCTTCTAGTTAAGGTTTTAGTTGTGGGAACAAAATTTGGGTGTGAGTTACTCTGACTTCAGCACATAGGCCTTGGCCAGACACACTTCTGTAAACAAGCCAACTATGGGGTGAACTCTTTACAGCCTACACTGCTTACAGCCTGCTTTGGGCATAATCAGCATTGCATCTCCTGCACATTTCATGTTTCCATAGCATTCTGTGATCTAAACATGTGGAGCAAATGGCTTAGAAATTTGGAAATGTGAATATGGCTCTCCAGTGGTCATAATTTAGCTATTTCCTGATTTTATATACAAGGAAACTTTAGAAGTTTTTACCAAAATATAATAGAAAATGATGAATTTTCTAGTAAAGAGATTTTAGTGAAAACATTTCAATGACAGATATTTAAAAGCTACAATAGCTGATATCAAAGGGAGAAAGTCAGTATTGTAATTTCTTGGAACTTATAAAGTACAATCTTTAATAAAACTGCCAAATTTATCTTATGTTTCTCTTCTTAATTTGACATATCCACATGATGTATTTATACATGCATATATAATCTAAGCTTATATAAACATATGTGTTGTTTCATATGAAAGAAAAATTTACAAAATCTAAATTAAAAGCTTTATTTGGAACTGATAAATTTGATATGCCCTGCCCTGTATAAAAATATTCAAATACTCATTTGTACGAAGTCTTTGACAAATTCATAAAAGCTATTTCTTTTCTGTCCATTACTATTGTTCATTTCACTTCTTAATTACTTGAGATAATCTCTCTCATAGAGAAGAAAAATGTTAAATAGAATGTCTACTCCAGGTAACAATTGCAAAAAATACACTAGTTTTCTTTATCATTTTTTCCCTTTACTATTTTGAAGGTTATATATTTTATTTCTGTTCTTTGGACAACTGCTCAGAAAACTATAACTTATATACTAGACTTTTATTATTTTTGAGGTCTATTTCTTTCTTCCTAAGATTTTTTTTGTTTGTTTGTTTTTTTGTTTTTTGAGATAGGGTCTCACTATGTAGTTGAGACTGACCTGCAACTCACTATGTAGCCCAGGCTGGTCTCGAACTCACACTGATTCTCCTGCCTCAGCCTCCTGAGTGCTGGGATTACAGGTAAATGCCACCACACCTCACCCTGAGATTATTTTAAACAAGGGTTGTCAGATTTATTTTTTCATGTTTTAAATTTACTCTTATTATTAAGTTTAGCAGTAAACTGATGAATTCTTAAATTACCAGTGGATACTTACTTCTTCTCCTTCATCATCATCATCATCATCTTCTTCTTCTTCTTCTTCTTCAGAAAGAGGTGGAAGCAAAGGACCAAGTATGTCTTCCTCCAGATTAACTGGTTCTCCTACCATTTTAAGGGGTAAAGGAGGGCCAATTAACTCATCAGAAGAAGAATCAGAACTGTCTTCGCTTTCACTGCTGCTTGTATCTCTGAAAATAAAGAAATAGAAAATCTTTGCTTCTGCTGCTTTAAAGTCTTTGCCCTTCCAGTAGTATCTCTGGAGATAGTTCTTGACTGCCCTTGTAACAACTGAATCTGTCAAATGTTTGTTGGTCTTTTTGCTTATTTGCTTATTTTGGGTTTCTGTGACAGCGTCTCACTATGTAGTCCAGGCTGGCCTCAAACTCAAAATCCTCCTGTCTCAGCTTTCCAGATGCTGGGATTGCAGGTATGCAACACCATATCTGGATTTCAAATGTTTTTAAATTTACAATTCAAACATTAAATTTACAGTGCAAATATTATTTTAGCTTAAGTTTTAAAAATACCCTCTTCTCACTATCTTAACTAAACATAAAACAAAGATTACAAAGTCAAATATATGTTAAGAGATTCATTAAATCATTATCCCTCATAAAGAAATAGGGGAACAACAGAACACCGAAGAAAAACTACAAAGTACTAGATCCATAAAAGTTAAAAGCACTGAGATAACCAATGCCTCTATTAATTATATTTGAATCCAACAGTTTGTCACAGGAGCAAATAAGGCCATTCCTGTAAAAAACCTAGTATTACTTCTAAAATACTTCAGTATAAATTCTGAACTACAAACTATTTCTCAGTGCTAATCTACATTTGGCAAGTTGTTAAAACATTACATATATTATTATTCCTCGATTCTAAAAAATACCTTTCTCTAGGGCAATGGTGGCAATGGCACACATGCCACAGCAGTGGGTACTCTGTATCACTGAAAGCTCTAAAAGGCTCACCATCACTGTTCTAGGGCACACTCATACCCAATCTTTTCTCTTTTTTTTTTTGTACCAGGAATCGAACTCAGGACCTTGCATATGCAAGGCAGGTGGCAGAACCACTGAGCTAAATCCCCAGCCCCCCACTCTTTTCTTTTTTAATATAATACACGAAAAGGCTATTACTCTCATTAAGGTCTCAATCAAGTAACTCTAGGCATTCTAAAAGCCACTATCATCCACTATACCTGCACTCTGCCCCAAAGGATGAGAATTTGTTTATGTGTGTGTGTGTGTGTGTGTGCGTGAGTGCGTGTGTGTGTGTCTGTGTGTGTGTGTGTGTGTGTGTGTGTGTACCAGGGATCAAACTCAGGACCTTGTGCTTGCAAGGCAGATGGTGGAACCACTGAGCTAAATCCCCAGAGCTGAGAATTCCTAATTGTATCAATTAAACTTTCAAATATTTTATAAAATTAAAACTCTAACTCCCATTTAATGAAGTAGGTCAGATACATAAGCTCCATGATAGCAAAAATTTCTGGTGTTTTTGTGGTAATAAGGATTGAATCCTAGCAGTGATAAACTATATCTCACTCTTTTTCATTTTTTTAATTCTAGAGTGGGGTCTCACTTTGTTGGCCTCAAATTTTCAATCCTTCTGTCTCAGCCTCCCAGCACCAGGGATTGTAGGCACTGAGTCACCACTGTTTCCACCTAATGAGGAATTTCTTTTTTTTTTTTTTTTTTTTTCTTCATTGCTGTGCTTATGGCACTTAACAGCTACTGAAGGAAAAAATACAACTTTCCTTTTTATTTTCACGTATGCTTAGCATAACAAGGAATACTGTACTTACAGATCACCTGCTGGAGCATTCCTCCCACTGCTTATGTGGCTTCTTTCTTACCAATGTCCTCAACTGTCACCTCATCAAAAAGGCTTCACGCATACCTTTTAGAAATTTTTACACCTCACCATTACCTTAACTACTTTATTTTATTATATACATGTTAAATCATGTTATTTGATTGGCTACTTGTTGTTCAAAATATTACCTACCCCTTCAGAGTCCCCAAACCAATAAAAGGTCAAGGAGCAGAAATCTTAATCTGACCTGTAACACCTGTATTTCCAGTTCCCCTAACAGTGCCTAATCCACACTACTTAATAATAATTCAATGAATAAGTTTACACTAAGCTATGTATACTCTCAGATTATCTCCCTTGTGACTAAAACCGGTTTCCCTCTGTCATTTAGAAGTCACATATTTTTAATGTATAATTATTCAGGCTATCAAGAGCTCTAAACAGAAATGTTGATCCTTAGCATCCATGCTAAGTTAACCAAGTTAACTAGTTCAAAAGTAAGCATTAAACTGAGAACTAAACTGATCCATGTCAATTTCATGGCTGATTATCCAGGCCTAATACCCACATAAAATCTGAATGAAATGCATTTGTTTCTATGTAGATTCTAACTCCATATTTGGCTTTTTGCTTCTAATGTGCCCAAGCCAAGGAAAAACCTTTTAACATACTTCCAATATACTAAAAAACAAAGTCCATGAATTATGTCCAAAAATGCCTGATGGAAACAGAACATATTCCTTGTTTAAAACGTGCCTTGACTTAATATGGTGTCAAAACACTAACTCCAGCGAGAGAAAATAACTAGAAGAGGTAAACCCTATTCTTTTCTTGGCAACATTTTAAAAGAGATTTTAATTTAATATTAAAGTCTGTGGGTATACAGTATCAATTCAGGAATTATATCCATAAATAAAATCCATTCATAAAATTTATTTCTTAAAAGGAAATGCAAATGCTTAAAAATTCCCTACCCTACAAATGAGGACTGTGTACATCTACATTTCTTTCTATCTCAAATCAATATTAAATAGAATAAATAACATTTTTCTTTCCTGTATGTGACTTTTTCTTTTCAGTACCAGGAATCAAACTCAGGACCTTGCACTTGCCAGGCACGTGCAGCACTGCTCAGCTAAATTCCTTGCTCTCCTGTATGTGATGGCAGGGTTAAGTAACTGTCTTTCTATAAACCAAATTTAAATAATAACAGATTTTCAGAAAGTTATTCACGTTTTGTGAAACAAGCTCTCAATATCACAGAGGAAACAAACTAACCTAATAATGATTACAGTCAGGAGACCTGTAGAACAATCCTAGAAATAAATTCACACCAAAGAAACAATTTATACTTAGTAAGTGTACACAAGTGTACATGGATCAACATTTTAGTGACTGTCATCCTAACAGCAGGCCACAACCAGTTCTGGGTGACTAAATTTCAGACAAAAATCTTCTACCTCAATCAGACATGGATAAAAAATGAAAATGTGGGGAAATCCCCAAAAGGAAAAAGCTATTATATGGAAGGGAGGAATAAAAAAAGAAAGAGAAGGAAGGAGAATAATTTTGAAAAAAATTATATTCCAGGGGCCAGGGATTTAGCTCAGCGGTTTTTTATACCGGGGATTGAACTTGGGTCCTTGTGCTTGCAAGGCAGGCCACCGAACCACTGAGCTAAATCCCGGGCCCCAAAAACTTCAGCTTTTAAATGACTATATAAGAGGAAAAGTCATTCAATTTAAGAATTTTTCACTACCTGCTTATATTTAGTTTTTTAACATAGAGTTTTTAAACTAGAAGCATTTTGAAAGTCACTAGCACGGGGATTGAACTTGGGTCCTTGTGCTTGCAAGGCAGGCCACCGAACCACTGAGCTAAATCCCGGGCCCCAAAAACTTCAGCTTTTAAATGACTATATAAGAGGAAAAGTCATTCAATTTAAGAATTTTTCACTACCTGCTTATATTTAGTTTTTTAACATAGAGTTTTTAAACTAGAAGCATTTTGAAAGTCACTAGCATAAAAATGTTTACAATTCTTTAGCTAATTAGCAATGTCATATTTTATTATTTAAAAATATCATTTGAGAGATGCAGATGGAAACAACACTGAGATTCCACCTTACCCCATAAAAAATGGCTGCTATCAAGAAATCAAACAATAACAAATGTTGGTGGGGTTGTGGGGGAAAAAGGAACCCTTCTCCATTGTTGGTGGGAGTGCAGACTGGTGCAACCACTGTGGAAATCAATATGGAGATACCTCAAAGAGGTAGGACTAGAGGTTCTGTTTGACCCAGATATCACACTGCTGGGTATCTTTCCAAAAGAATTAAAAGAATCATACCACAGTGATATATGCACACCCATGTTTGTAGTGGCACAGTTTGTAATAGCTGAAACTTGGAAACAGCCCATTTGCCCACCAGTTAGAGACTGGATAAAGATGTGGCTTTTCTATAAAATGGAATAGTACTCAGCCATAAAAAATAAGAAATTAGAGTCATTCGTAGGAAAATGGATGCATATTGAGGATACACTCTTAAGTGAAACAAGTCACATATGTGTAAATACTGAACAGTTTCTCTGGTGTTAAAAACTGTAATTGTACATAAGATCCTAGTGGTATAATTGACAATATGAAATAGGAAGAAAAGGGCTAAAGATGTCAGGGAAGTGGGAAGGGTGGGGGAAAGGAAATAAGGGAAAAGAAAAAAATATGAGAAAATGAAAAAATGGAAATAAAGTATTTATAAGTAGGGAAGGGAGGAGGGGATAAAGGGAGGGCAGGGGTAAGGGGAAAAAAATGAGAACCAAGACCTGTCATGTAAAGGTACAAGATCCCAATGGTGAATGTAACTGTACTGTATACCTAAAATGTACCAATAAACTCAATGAGGAAAAAAAATGTATTGGCTTACAAGATCTCAAAAAAGAATTCCCTTTAATCAGTTGTTCCCCTCCCCACCAAGAAAATAGTTACCATGGCTCTTTTCAGGACTGGTACAGATAGCCTCCTGACAGCACCAGTACTTTAGGGCCCCCTAAAAGTTGCCACTTGCTTTATAGTAAAACCCGATAGTGTTTATTTACTTATTTTTGAAAAGAAAGAGTAATCTTAGAACAAAACAAAGTCACTACTCTATCTTCTTTTTATTCTTTGCAATAGTAACTAACCCAGTCTTCTAATACTGTTATTCAAATTCCCTAAACAGGACTTTGAGAATGAGACAATCACAAAAGAATGCTAAAATTGAACATGAACCTTCCTAGAAACAATGGCAAAAAGGGCAACTGTGTTCTATGTGTGTCATTTTAAAAAGCATTTATAAAATAGATTTTTCAAGGTGCTAAATTCTAGAAGTAAATTATACACTTTTTTTTTTTTTTTTTTTTTTTTTGAGAGGGTCATAGCTCTGTACTCACTATGTAGCCCAGGCTGGCCTCAAACTTGCAGTGATTCTCCTGCCTCAGTCTCTGAGTACTGGGATTACAGGAATGTGCCACCACAGCCAGTTAACACATTCTAATAAAGTAGAAACATTCTGGATTGCATTTTGTAGTAAAATATAAGTTCTTAAAAAGCACACATTTCTTTAAAAAAGGCTTCAAGCAAATTTCAATTACATTTAGCCACAGTAACATTATTTTTATAGTAACATGATTCAAAGCACAGAAACAGCTTCAGGAGTTCTTAATAAATATAGAAAATCAACATAATGCATTTGATAGTAATATATTCCAAACCAAAGTTTCAACAGGTCTATTCATCTGCCATGTATTATTCAGTGGAGGTCTTCCTGAGATAGTAGTAAGTAAACTTCCATTCTTTGATCAATAAAATACAGCAATAAATTTGTGCTACTGTATTTTTCTTGATTTTTATTTCTATTTTTGTATTTTACAAGAATAACGCCACAGTAATTCTTCAATTTAAATCACTAGTAGCAAAAGTAATATTGGGTTTAGGGATTTTGTTTGTTTTGTTGCAGTGATGGGAACTTACCCCAGAGTTCACTAGAATGCTTGAGTTTTCTCATTATAATAAACTTACTCCCAACAGCAATACTGCATCTTTGGTATTATGGTTAGTATGCAGGAAAATACAGAATCAATGAAACTAATAGAATTTTTAACAACCCTCAATTAATGGAATCATTTTTTGTCAAGATGGTAATGATAATAATAAATTCCCAAAAACTTCAGTTGTTGACGTCTTAAATTACACCAACATAAACTAAATGTAAACATTAAAAGTTCTTTTTTTAAAAAAAAAAGATAATTTCCTTTTATGGTTGTTGTTTTTTTATTTTTTGACACAGGTTCTCAATGTAGTTCAGGCTGGGCTTGAACTCACTCTGCAGCCCAGGCTAGACTCAAACTCATGGCAATCGTCCAGTCCCAGCCTCCTGAGTGCTGGGATTACTATACAAGCGTGTGCCACCAGGCCCAGGTAAGGAACATTTCCTTTTAACTGTAGGTAATGACATAAAACAGTAGATAATCCAAAACTGAATTTGTATTGGTGAATAAAGAAATGATACTCCATTACAAGAGTTGGCTAACTTGGGCATGCTGCTTATTTTTAAAGTTCTTTTGGGATACAGTCTCAGCAATTCCTTTATGTATGAAGTGCAGCAAGATGAATGGCTTAGAGATTCTATGGCTCCTATTGCCTGAAATATTCACCATCTGTCTTTGACAAAAAAAAAACAATTACTAACTTCTGCTCTTCACTACTACATCCAAAGGTACCCATATGCTCCAGTGACTTCAAGCGGTATCAGGGTTGCACTGTCACAAAAAGAGAGAATCAGATTTGTAGTCCTATTCCCCTTCCCGATACAAACTACAAAACCAGGTATACAGGTGTACACCTTGTACCTCCAGCACTCAAGAGGCTGAAGCAGGAGATCTTGACTTCATGACTGGCCTTAACTACTCAGGAAGCTTAAGAGTGGACAGGATTACCAAGCAAAATGAGAAAAGAAACAAACTGTAAATATTAAGATTACTGTGGAGTTAGCCGGGTGAGGTGGCGCACACCTGTAATCCCAGCACTCGGGAGGCTGAGGAAGGACGATCGCTGTGAGTTTGAGACGAGACTGGGCTACATAGTGACTTCCAGGGCAGTCTCAACTACACAGTGAGAACCTGTCTCAATAAAAAAAAAAAGAAAAAACTTTAAAAAAAAAAAAAAAAAAAAAAAAAAAAAAAAAAAAAAAGATTACTGTGGAGTTAAGATTCTGTTTAAGGGCTAAGAATGCAGCTCAGTGGTATAGTAATTTCCTGGCATGCATAGGAAATGGATTTGACCCCAAAGCATTGTAAAATAAATAAGTAAGGCCAGTGACGTAGCTCAGTGGTGCTGCCAAATGCTTTGCAAGTGCAAGGTCTGAGTTCAATCCCCAATACCAAATAAATAAATAAATAAATAATTTTAAGCCAGGCATAGTGGTACATGTCTGTAATCCCAGCACTCAGGAGGCCAGGACAGGAGCATCACAGCTAGTTCAAGAGCAACCTGGGCTACAAAGTGAGTTCAAGGCCAGCCTGCATTACAAAATGACATTGTCATAAAAGGTCAAAATAAGAAAAAAAAATTATTTTTAAATTTTAAATAAAGCCATGCCTTCAAATGTGTGTAAAATGTCACAATAAAACCTACTGCTCTGCACTAGTAATTAATGTTCACTAGTAATTGTGACTTTTAGAAAGAGATCTTGGGCCAGGGATTTGGCTCAGTGAGCACCACGCCTGCCTTGCAAGTGCAACGTCCTGATTTCAATACCCAGTACAAGAAAAACATAAAATAAATAAATAAATAAGAGATCTTACTCAAGATATTAAAGATCCGTTCTAGGGAAGAGGTAAGCAAAAAATGATACTACAAGCTATAAATGATATTTTCTGTATTAAGGTTTTGGGAGACTTTTTTCTACCAAAAATAAAAGCAAGTCAATTAAAACAAACCAAGTACAGTGGTACATGCCAATAACCCCACTGTTCAACAGGCTTAGATAAGAGGATAGCAAGTTCAAGGCTATTCTGGGCAACTTAGGAAGACTCTATCTCAAAATAAAAAATAAAGCCAGATGTGATGATATACACCTGTAATCCCAGCACTCTGGGAAGCCAAGGCAGAAGGATCACAATTCAAGCGCACACTGGGCAACTCAGTGATGTAGCAAGACCCTGTCTCAAAATGAAAAACTTTTAAAAAGGTCTGGGAATGTAGCTCAGGGAATGTAGCACTGGGTTCATCCCCAGTGCCCCCTCAAAAAAATAATAAAATAAAAAGGACTGAGATGTAGCTCGGTGAGAATACACCACCCCTGGGTCTGATTCCCAATACTGAAAAAAAAAAAGTCAATCCAATGGTAGACTGCCCAAAACATTATATGTGACCACTGAAGTTTATGGAACCAATTTGGCAATTAAATATATATCATGGGTCTGGGATATAGCTCAGTGATAAAACACTTACCTATGGCATGTAAGAGGCCCTGGGTTTGAATCCCCACCACAACAAAAACAAAAATCTAAACATTAGATGACTTATATTATTCTATGAACCTGGATTTTTAAAGATAATACTGTAATTAGTTTACACAGTATGAAATTTCACTTCAAAGTAATTTTTTTTCTAAAGACAGGGTCTTGCTATGTAGTTCAGGCTGGCCTTGAAATATATAGCACAGGCTGGCCTCGAACTTGTGACAATCCTCCTGCCTCAGCCTCCTGAGTGGTAGGATTACAGATGTGCACCACTACACCTGACC